TGCTGGTGGCCTGCTCGCGAACGGGAAGTCGCCGGAATCGCTGCACGTGGTCGGGAAGTGCTGCGACTGGTGGGAACTCGCCGGAGGAAGGGCCTGCGCGAAGAGGGAGCACCGGCGGGGCTACTGCGGTTTGCCGGAGATGGGGATGAGAATCGGGTATGATGATGCTTAAGGTGATGACTGTGATGATCGAGTAGTGATGACGGGAGGATGAAGATGGATGTGCGGGGAAAAAAGAAACGAGAGAAAGTGAAAATCTCTTCACCTCTCCTCTCTGTTGCGCGATGATGGGAGCAAAGAAGAAAAAAAAGTTGCGTGTGGATGTTTAAGTTGCTGAGGGTTTGGACAAATCCTATTTATACATGCTATTAGGTTAATAAATTATTGCATGGTCCACAATCTTAGGAAAATCACACGCACACACACACGCACGGAAGGAGAAAAATCGGGCTCGGTTGGGCCGATTCTCGATACATATTTTAGTTCTTACGAAAATATGCATAATTAATTATTATGCATATTTACTTAATTCATGATACATATTTTAGTTCTTACGAAATGCATATTTAGTTATTGAATAGTGCATACCTATTTTATTTGAGATTCAATCATAACAATTTATTTGTGTTATTAATCAATTTAAAATTAAAATTAATTATATAATAAAAATTATTTGTGTTATTAACTAAATATGCAACTGTTATGAACTAAATATGCATCATGAATGAACTAAATATGCAGCGAAAAAATATGCAATAAAATGTACATTTTATATAATTAATTTATGATGCATATTTAGTTAATTTATTGTGAATATTTAGGTAATTTCTGATGCATGTTTAGTTAATACAAAATGCATACTTGTTATATTTAAATTAAATATATAATGATATTTATATAGTTAATTTATGATGCATATTATTTAGTTTATTCATGATACATATTTAGTTCTTACGAAATGCATATTTAGTTCATGAACAGTGCATACATATTTTATTTTGAGATCCAATCATAACAATGTATTTGTGTTATTAATCAATTTAAAATTAAAATTAATTATATAATAAAAAATCATTAATTATTATATTTAATTTAATTGTATAAAATGTATATTTTATTGCATATTTTCGTTGCATATTTAGTTCATTCCTGATGCATATTTAGTTAGTAAAATGTACATATTTAGTACACAAACAGTGCATACATAGTTGATATTATTACTGCATATTTAGTTCATAAGGATGACATATACAACTCATTTCTTATGCATATTTAGTTCATACTAAGTGCATAGTACTGTATGCATATTTACTTCATACAAAATGTAGACTAGGGGTCAACGGTCAACGCCGAAAGTCAACGGTCAACGCCAAAGTCAACACCGGAAGTCAACGGTCAACGCCGGAAGTCAACGATTTTTTGCCGGAAGTCAACGGTCAACGCCGGAAGTCAACGATCAACGCCGGAAGTCAACGGTCAACGCCGAAGTCAATGGTCAATTGTCAAAATAATATTTAAATAATTAAAATAATAAAAATAAAGAATTATGTAATACAAATAAAGAATTGTTATTTAAATGAAGAGTTAAATCTTGGCCACACATCATGTACCAATCTAGTGGCTAGGAATGAGTCTCACATTCACACTTTAAATATGTGTACTCATTGGATCCAATCCCTATATATATATATATATATATTTATAAATCACATTTTATTATTGTATTAATACTACACAATTTGACACATTATAAATAAATATAATACTTAGGCAATTTGATAATTAAACACATAATAATAATAATAATAATAATAATAATAATAATAATAATAATAATAATAATAATAATAATGGGAAAATAATAATAATAATAAATCAAAATAAATCCAAAATAATTCTTATTCAAACGGGGCGTTACATTCAAAATTCTCGATTTTATGTTAAATAATTTATTTGATATAAACATGAGAGAATTTTGACTTTTACAAAACTGTCGTGCCGAATTTTACCTAAATTAACTTAATTCCTATGAAATCCGATGTTTTTAAATAAACAATTGATCTGTTGCAATTAAGAAAAGATATATGTGATAGTATTTTGCCTAATTCTAAATTCTCGGTTTTATGGTAATCAATTTTTTATATAAAAAAATGAGAATAAATTTTGACTTTTGCAAAACTGTATGCATCAGTCGAAATTTACCTAAATTAAATCCACAAAACCCATGAATTTAGGGTACATATATAGATGATTGATTTTTTTGAGAATAATTTCAAAAGAAAATTCAAAAACTGTCAAAAATATAATGCAATAAATGCTGGTTAACTTTTTTTTATTACTGTTTTTAGTATATAGGTTCTCTTTATATATATAAATATAGATATAGATAGATATAGATATGTCATATAAAATATTAACTCTAAAATTTATTATATACCGAGCAAATTGTGTGGAGATTTTATGATGTTAAAATATTTCATGTTAGATAATTTTAAATATTATGTATGTATGTTGTTGCATGACTGTTTTTAATGTTTATTTCATATAATGCAAAGGCAGAAAACATTAA